ATTGTATTAAAGCAGACCTATAGTCAAAAGCCGGCTTCTGTCCATCGTTCATCTTTATGCTTCAGTAAAAAAAATTACAGTCTAACCTCCCCCAGATAATTGTCTCAGTCAGAGCCCATTGAAATCCCACCAACCTGCTCCACTGCCACGTCTGCCTCTAATTGTGTCCAAGGGCAGTTTCCAAGTGATGTAGAGTCTCCAGTAAGTCACTAATGGTAGATTTTCACAGGAATGTTCCTATATAAAATCTTGTCAGAACATTCGATTATGCCACCAGGGACTTGATGAACGTCACCCAAAATTTTGTTTCATTTTGACATTGTTTTTTCATAAACCACATTCACTGATAGAATTTTGCTCCTTCAGGAAAAGTTTTCCACCCTGCCCTGCCCTATAGAAAATTGAACGAACGTTCCCGAAAACTAGTTTTTTTTTTTTTTTTTTTGGAAAACCACTGGTGTACGGCCAGATGTAGTGTCCTGGATCATGCTGGACAGCCTATGGGACACACTGCAGACACTATGGGACAGCATACAAAATCCCAGGACACATGGCTACTATGATGTGGTGTGTGTTGCTGCATCATCAGACGTGGTGTGTGTTGTGTGCGGTGTGATATAATGAGCCATCAGACATGGTGTGTGCTGTGTGCAGTGTGATACAATGAGCCATCAGACATGGTGTGTGCTGTGTGCAGTGTGATACAATGAGCCATCAGACATGGTGTGTGCTGTGTGCAGTGTGATACAATGAGCCATCAGACATGGTGTGTGCAGTGTGATATAATGAGATATCAGACGTTGTGCTGAAAAGGAATTTGAGGCTATTTTTGGAGATGACACAGATGAGGAGACGCGGGGTCGCGCTCCTCTCAGACAATTGGCTGCTCTCTCCTCTCCTGTGACGTGTGGATTGGATGGTGTGTGTGGTGGAGGATCTGATGTGCTCTCATCACAATATTTGGATTGGATGGTGTGTGTGGTCGGGGATCCGATGTGCTCTCATCACAATATTTGGATTGGATGGTGTGTGTGGTCGGAGATCCGATGTGCTCTCATCACAATATTTGGATTGGATGGTGTGTGTGGTCGGAGATCCGATGTGCTCTCATCACAATATTTGGATTGGATGGTGTGTGTGGTTGGGGATCCGATGTGAAGACGTCTACAGAAATGACTGATCAGTAGGCGTAGTGGGCAGCAAGCAGCAGAGGAGGACAAATTGCATTCAGAAGGGCTCCCATGCAGAGAACAGGGGTGTGGCATTTAATAATAACAGGGGGCAGGGCTGGCTATAGTCATAGGGGGGTGTGAACAGCTCAGCCAGGCGGCAGTGGTATTTAAAGGAGACCTCCTTCTGGATATGATGAATGTCCATGGCTTCAGTGGTGACATGGAACAAGCCCTTGTCAATGAACGTAGATTATATCTATAAAACAATTGCAATTGATGAAATCAAACACTTCATACTTTTCATTAAAATACCTTTTCATTGTCACATCTCAGTGCTGCTAATCTTTCTGCAGCCACTTCCTATATACACACGCATGCATGGCAGCCTGTATGGCAAATGCAGCTTGCCTAAGAACACCCACTCCTCCCGACTGACGCCCACCCTTCAAGGCAACACTCTTCCCTGTTGGCTCCTCCCACCAGCCATGATCTGCCTTCATTGCATAGAAAAGCATAGAGACCCATAATGATGTAATTGGTTTTATTGAAAAACGTTGTTACTGTGTTGATGGAGGAGGAGAGGAGGAACCAGGGAAGGCAAAATAGGAGCAGATTAAAGGTCAGCTTTAAGGGCCCAGTTACACCATATTCAGTGCATTACGGTGCGGTTTGAACCTGGAATGCATAGATCAATCCGTGCTGCGTTTTTAGGCGGTGCGTGCATGCACTATTTTTCCCAATCGCACTGCACCTGAACGGAGGGCATCCCTGTGCCTTGTGTTCTGGTGCAAGCGATCGCACTGTGGGCGGATGCGATCTATGCGATCCAGTGTGTTCCAGGTTCGATTCGCTCCGGAACGCACTCAATATGCTGTGACTGGGCCCTAAGGCCTCATTCACACGAGAGCAGCCGGCACGTACAGCTCCATGCTGCGTGCGTGGCCGTATCGGGCAGCTCCCGGGAAGGACAGGTGCTGCGTGTGATTAGTACGCTGCCCCCCGTCCTTCTCTATGGGAGTACGCGGCCGTACGCCACTCTATGCTCCCCCGCCCTGCGTGACCGTGCGGTAGCGGGTGAGCGTACTCGTGCGATGACAGGAAGGATCCTGTCTGCGTCTGAGCCGGGACACCCGCACCCGTACAAACCTGCACTTGGGGTGAGCGTAGGGCGGCGTACGGCCGCAGACTCCCATAGAGAAGGACAGGGGCTGCGTACTAATCACACGCAGCACCTGTCCTTCCCGAGAGCAGCACAGAGCTGTACGTGCCGGCCTTTTCTAGTGTGAATGAGGCCTAAAGGTTATATAATAGATTTCAGTGATTGGGTTTGCATACACTTAAAGCTGAACTCCAGGATAAGACAATATTGTCCACATGCAGAGACGTGTATTCTTCGTGTACTTTGTGTGTTTCTTCCAGATCTGTGCAGTAATCCAGTGAGAAACTTAGAGCTTCCTGTATTAAAGACCAGCCACTGCTGCTCTCTCTCTTTGTGCATGGTGACTGGTCTTGTATCAGCCGCTTTCTGTGGGCAGTCTTTAGTGGGTGTGGCATGCTTGGCCCCTCCCACAGCTCTGCTCTCTGCAGAGATTATGTGCAGCACAATGATGATGCCACTGCTACTTTTGCAAGGTGATAACTGGGTCTTCAAATGTATTTGGTGCACAGAAAGCGGATTCATATCCTGTGTGGCCTATGATTTGGAATATATTTAAATGAAAGCTTTGGTGGGGTTCAACTTTTAAGCCAGAACTCTGGATCTGGTTAATCATTTCAGGACAGTGGATTTCACGTATGGAAGTCAAAGGGTCAGCCGGACAGCCAGGCAGCTGGCATTTTCAGGAAGGGCCTGCTGCAGTGTCTACATATTTCTGTCTGTATTGGTTATCTTTAGGGCTCAGTCACACCAGATGCAGTGCGTTCCGGCCCGATTCCTGCCAGAACGCACTGTCTCGCATTGCTCACTTTTTGTGGGGCAGGGGGGGGGGGGGGCGAGCCATTGAAGTGAATGGCACCGTAGCCACTCCGGCCGCAATGCGATCGGCCGCACGGGATTGCAAGGCACATTATGCCTGTGGTCCGGTCCGCACAAAATAGTGCTTGCAGTGTGTTCGGGCCAGAACGCACTGCATCTGGCGTGAAGAAGGTCTTAAAGGAGAACTATGAGGTGAGTGATTTTCACTCATCCTCATAGTTCGAGCCGACGTGTGACAATAAAACTGTCACACGTCGGCTTAATAGATCGGGAAGTGAGCAAACACATACCGTCGCTCGCTCACTTCGCGATCATCTCCCTGCAGAGACCGGTGACGGTCACTCACGGCTCTCTGCAGGGATTTCCCCGCTCCTCATGCGCTGACTGGCGGAACGGACGAGGGAGGTGACGGGCACAGCTGGCTCTGCCTCTAGATAGGTAGAGCCAGCTGTCACTCACGCAGCTGGGTGGATCGCGACAGTAATTCCGCGATCCGTCCCACCTACGGAGGTCTCAGTATACCGCGAGCTGTAGCTCGCGATATACTTAGCTTTGGGTCACAGGAGGACACTAGTATACCTCCTCCCGTGACCCTTAGGAGAACTATGGGGAAAAACGCTTACCCCATAGTTCTCTTTTAACGGCTACGTTTACCTTTCTGACCAGCTGCACGAGAGAGGAGGGGACTACGAGAGAGGAGCATACCTTATCCTGCCGGATAAAAGTCCCTTACTCTCTTTTCCGGCGTCCATCACTAAGATGGCCAGCGGCAGGTAAGTGCCCGTGGTGTCATTACGTGCGTGTGTGATTATGTCACACCTGGCGGCCACACCGGGTGACACCTGGCTTAGTGACACCTCTGCATCAGACTTATAGACCTCAATGGGGCACAAGTACGCTGATTTCCTCCTCCAACCCCATAACTGAAGGTCCGTACAGACTCAGGGCTGGGGGAATAGTCTGCAGGAGACTGTGCATGGCACCAGCTTTTGTAATGCTCTGCAAGCTCCAATGAAAACATGATTGTGCACATTTTGCTAATGTAAAAGGAAGCCTGTGCCTTTAATACTGCAGGGGGGCGTGGCTTTTATTACTAACATGGGAGTGATCCATAACAAGAAGAGGGGTGTGCTACATAACAAAGGACTACGCTGGTGTATTCCATGGCTGGAGTGCTGAGTCTGGACGCTGACACAGGGTGAGGTCTGCGCTCTGTTCCGTGATCACAGTCAGGCTGTTCAATGGAGAATAACACGATGATTAGTACAGGGAGATGGGGGGCGTGGAAGGCAAGGGGCGGTGCTTGCAGCCAGATGAGGAGGAGCCTGCAGGCTATTCATAACAACATTCCCACCGTATTAGTAAACATGGTTGGGTGTTAGACGTAGATCATCGATTATTTATTAAACATGAATAAGATACATAGAACGATCTGATCAGTAATCAATGATCGATCTAGGGACAGTAGGTGGATGAATATCGGGTATCGTTCTATAGAAGAGCGGAAAAATCTCTGCTGGTCTCCCGCTGTCAGTCCTACAAGTGCGTGATCGAAGGAGCTAACGCGATCCCCAAAATTCCGAGCCGTACCAGGCTGTCTGAGGGCGGAGCATTTGTTAGGAGGGCGTGCCCTAGAAAAGTCTGTCATGGGGGATTTTTCGACGGGCGGTGCTAGCAGGAGGGGGCGCCGCTGAGTTGATTCTGTCATACAAAGAGGGCGGTGCGATGAGGAAGAGAGTGGGCATGGCCGTCTGGGTTCTGTCAGACAGAGGGGTGTGTCATGGGGGCGGGCCTGTCAGCTTGGGCGGGGGAGTGGCGAGCTTTGGCTCCTGGATTCCCGCGCATGCGTATATGTTTGTTTTGACTGAAAATGCCGTCGGTTTCGAAAACGGCACTGAGCGGTTCCCCGCAGACCGAGAAACCGACTCATTACACGTAAGTGTTCAGCATGAAGGGGGAGAGTCGGCTCATCAAAAGCGGGTATTGCAGATTTTTTTCTTTTTTTTGTTGTTGTTGCAGCCGCAGCATTGTTTACTTGTAGCGCTAAGAGCAGATGGCGGCGTTGTTTGCCTGGTGCCCGTTCTCCCTCCGTGTGCAGATGGCCGCTCTCCGGTGCGGTCTTCGCTTTCGTTCTAGCGCCTTGTCTGTGTTTGCAGAGCCCTTACGTCAGTTGAGTGGCGTAGCGCTCCCCCCTCGCACATCTGCGCGGCTCTTCAGGCTGGCGCAAGACGGCTTCGAGAATAGCGCTGCGAGCGGCGGCTGCTGCTCATTCCTGGAGAGCTCTTCTCCCGGTAAATAAAAGGCTGTTTGTGATCGGTGGCTGTACGGAGCCAATGTGTGACATCAGCCGGACTCCTTCCCGCCTCTTTGCACCGCCGGAAGGCTTGCATCTGGTGTGTACACAGCAAGGGGACTCGGAACATGCCTCATCTGTCACCATCTGCTTCTATTCCCCATTGGTTTCCATGCCGAGCTTCAAATTCCATTACTGCCATCGAGAACACCAACAGAGGATG